TCCATGAGACCTCCTCCTACGTTTCGAGCGAAAACGGGTAACGTTTTCTTTTCCTCAGATTACGAACACCATCAGAGCTGGGACTCATTCTTGAAAAAGACTCAAGCTAAGGCTAAGTCAAGAAATCGGACCGATTTTTTCCTGCATGATATATATACTAACAAGGATAAAAAATTTTGAATATAGATGGAAAAATATATGTTTGGTAATTCTCATATATCTTATTGATAAATAGGTTTTCGAAACTATCAGTATAGCATATATATGATGTGTATTCACCCGTTTTCGCTTAAAGTAATAGTTGGATTTTCCCACAATTATATGAGTAAACCTTACGTCTCCCAAAAGGTATTCTCATCTATGCTGGTTATCGCGTTGGGATTATAGGCTGCATTGTCATGGTCCGAGTCCCACTAGTAGTGCTGAAAAGACAAAGGAGAGATCGAGACTGCAGTCCACTCTGTATAAGAACACCTTTTGGGAAAGCAATGCTATGTACAATTCAATGGAGACGTTAAGATTACTCAAATCATCTTGGAAGAATTCAAGTATTAGTTCCCTTATTACCTTAAACGAAATAGGGTGAATACACCATATATATATACATATATGTATATAATTTTATCGTACTTGAGTGTGTGTCTGTGTAATGATGTATATACGCAAAACCCGTTATAATGCAGAGTAATTATAAAAAGGCCCAACTTCAGCTCCGGGTCACCAAGGCCTAAGGACCCTAGGTAAAAGCATGACCGAGATTGCGTCAGTCCGTAATTGACTCTGGTTGAATTGATGAGACGTAAGTCTGTACTCGTGAAAGTCAGGTTACTAAATGACCAGTCAAAACTCGTTTTTCCTGTACTGCCGTCATCTTCTGGTGAGTATGACCTAGGAATCTCTTCACCATCCACTTTCATACGAAATAAACGTCTTCACAGCAATATTATTATCGAAGGTATGAAGACCAAGATGGTGTGGCCTTTTGTGTGGTCACAGTCTCCTTTCGTTCTATAGAAGTTGTTTGACCTTGTTTTCGCGACTCGGTCATATTGGTATGAAAACTTAAAGGAACGCACCTTGTCCGGAGTCCATTGTATGCATCATCATTTCCAGAGTAGGACCGTGGACGT